AACTCAGTAAAGAATTTTCCTCTACCACTACACGAAGGCCAACGCAGTTTACAACTTTAAAAGCCAAAGATATTCATAGACAATTTTAAAATTGGGACGTACACAATAAACTGTTTTTTTGGAAATTTTGTAAATTTTGATAATTTTGAAAATGTTTCATGATCGATAAAAATTATTTTATAAAGGAGCAACATGTCATAGCGCTACAATTCATTATTCTATTTGGCACTGATGATTGGTATTGTTTTTATACATATCATGAAACGGATCGTTTGCCCGCCAATTTGATTTGTTTCAATTGTTCGAATTATATATTATATATATATATATATATATATATATATTTCATTGGCTAGACTTCTACACAACAAAAGAAAGTGGTTATATATATATATATATATATATATATATATATATATCCGGCTCTCATTATTAAGGCCTTGGTGGCCCAGTGGCACGGCGCCGATCCATATGATATTATAGATATATCTATATTAACTGTCTCTTTTACAGATAAAGGAAGAAGATCTAGACACTGTGGAGAGTTTGCTCATCAAATCGAACGAGGGATACCCTTCCATAATTGTGGTAAGTTTGATTGATGGCATATTTTATTATTTACTCTTATTTGCTCTCGATCATCTTAATTGAATGAAATTTCTTCAAGGTTGTTTATAAACAATTGCATTCGTATTGGTCTGATATATGAATTATAAGTTGTACTCTCTAACAGGACTTAAAGACTGTCAGCGATTTATTATGGAACGAGGAGCCGGCTGCAAGTGCGGACACGGGAATTTTATTCTCCAGAAAAGAATAGTACTGGCTAGATCGGCGAGATGCGCTACTGTGCCGCGCCGAGCTGCCGTGAATTGGCATCGTCAATTAACCTGTCTGTCTGTATTATTTATTTATTTATTTTGCGATACACAGTGTTTTATTTATATTTAAACGACATTATACAGCAAGGCGAGTCACGCGGCCGTTTCCCTACGTCAGCTGACCTCTGGCTCTATATAAATCAACATTACACATCAAGTTATAAGCAATCCACGTGATCAACTTTAACCAATCAGAAGACATACAGCCGCGTGATATGACGCTGAAAACCAATCAAATGGTCATATTTTGCCGGACTGCTGCATAATCACAATTACGAGTGTACTTATGACATTCAAAGTTATCGCGAAAGTCACGTGATTGTTTCCTACATCAGCTGACCTCTGACTCTATATAAACCGACATTACACAGCAAGGCGAGTCACGCGACCGTTTCCCTACGTCAGCTGACCTCTGGCTCTATATAAATCAACATTACACATCAAGTTATAAGCAATCCACGTGATCAACTTTAACCAATCAGAAGACACACAGCCGCGTGATATGACGCTGAAAACCAATCAAATGGTCATATTTTGGCTCATGTGACAACTGTGCAGAATAAATAGGATATCGATATTGTACAGCACCCAGATCACTACTGGTCAGATGTTAATGATTATGTAATGTAATCAGGGGAGGGGTTATATTATGTAAACTAGCCCGGTTCATAAATTAACAATAATTGAAAATATTATAAAATTAAATTGTTGTAGTTATAGTTATAGTTATAGGCTTATTTGTTGTTCCTAACTCTAAGGTTAAATAACTGCCAAAAAATTTGAAGCTTCTGCAACTGGCAACCCCAACCGGAACTACCGTCACCTGCAACGCCCATTTTTTTCATCGATTTTTAACAATTTAACAGGTTAAAAATGCTCCATATCATCAATTTAGGCTTGACGGATGTTACTCGTCTAAATTTCTTCGAAGTAGCGCGCGCCGCTTTCTTCTCGATGGCACGAGCTACGAAGTAGCGCGCGCCGGTTCAGACCATTAACAATGGTCAAATTTAGGCATGAAGGAGTGCTTTTATAATTACCTGAGGACCCCAGGCTATTATGTTCATTAACATAATAAAGATTTGGCGGAATGACAGGCTGAGCGCGGCCCAGTAATTTTATAAGTGCTCCAAAAGTTTGAGGTCTAATATTAATGGTAAAAAGGTTAACTTTAGTCATATCAAAGTCTTAAGTCTACACGACGCTTGGTTTAGCTTACCTGGGGACCGCAGGCTATTATGTTCATAAACATAGAATAGAGATTCGGCGGAATGACAGGCTGAGGCTGTTTAGGCGCACCGGATTTCTTTGTATCACGTTGTGACACCCACGGTCGTTTCACTAGGTCCTGACGATACAGGGGGAGCGCGGCGGGTCATACACCGTATGACGAGGATTTCCGCCGCGAGATTTGTTGCAGCAGAAGTGAAAGTCGTAGAGACGTGAGACTTCGACTTCTAGGAGTAGGTACACAGACACAGCAAACAAAGCCATTTGGTGAATCTTCTTCTTCGTCCTCCAGTGAAGTCCGAGCTGATGCGAAGTAGAGACATTTTCAGAATGTAGATCGCCTAACTTACTCATCCAGCGAGTGTGGTGGTTTGCTCCTGGTTTGTGGTTGTTGTATGTGGTACGTGTATCACTTTTTCCTTTCGATGAAACCACCAAGGATTATCTTTGCAAGCTCTAGGTATTCCTGATAATCTGCTTCAAGGCCAAGTCCTTTACGTGCTAAGGTTCCAATCGAGAGTTGATGAAAGCGAGAAGGTCTCCCGTTTTTTCTTTGTAGGGATCGCTGGAAGTTGCTTCAATATATACCGTGCTTCAATATATACCGTGATAAACGCTTGTCTGAATAAGTCATGTAAGTTATAGTTTGAAAATTTCTTTTTTTCAACGGGAAATTCATGTTTAATTTTATTAGATCGGCCATTTGTAAATTTATCCAATAAACTTATCAATATCAATTAATCACTTTGTCAATCGATCGATTAATCAATTACCTCGTGAATGTTGAATGTAAGAACGTGAATACCCCTCTCTTCAATCGGACAGGTTCCATTTCTGACGGAGATTTTAGCACAAACGAATGGTCCTTTTCCTTCCGTGTGCTCTTATCTGCTATAAATAAACTAATTAGTATTATATTCATTATTTTATCACAAACGTATGGTTCTTTTCCTTCCGTGTGCTCTTATCTGCTATAAATAAACTAATTAGTATTATATTCATTATTTTAGCACAAACGAATGGTCCTTTTCCTTCCGTGTGCTCTTATCTGCTAAAAATAAACTAATTAGTATTATATTCATTATTTTATCACAAACGTATGGTTCTTTTCCTTCCGTGTGCCTCTTATCTGTTATAAATAAACTAATTAGTATTATATTCATTATTCATTTATAAATAGTCGATTAATGAATTATTTTATTGCTAACATGGACCTTCTCATCAAATATTGTCAGACTAGAAGGCTGAACTATATAAATTGGGTTTAGGACCAGGACTCTGGATTAACCTTATCACGTGTCACCGTGATTATTATTGTCATGTAACAAACCCTGACTCATGACTATAAACCTTGTTCGGCGCTTATATGCTAATTCTTTGAACAACTAAACCGTTTAAATGCCTGATGATATGAAATTTTTTTAAAGTCAGTAACGAACGGTCCATGTTTTTGTTAATAAATAATAAATATAAAGACTCGATAATAGCTCTGCCAAACTGAATAGCTCTTTTGTTGAGATGTGAGAAAGCACTGGCATCAGCCATCGGCCCTCTCCTCCTCACTGCTCCCCCTACCACGATAAATTTAGCACACCATCGTCTCTGTCTCCATGCTGTCTTCAATCATGTCACATGCTATCTTCAATCATGTCACATGCTATCGGTCTCTGGGACCTCAAATTATTTGTTATATAGCAGCGCCGAAGGTACCACAACTTAATTGGACAGGTTCCATTTCTGACGGAGATTTTAGGACAAACGTCCGGTTCTTTTCCTTCAGTGTGCCCTTTATCTGAAATAAATAAACTAGTTAGTATTATATTCATTTATAAATAGTCGATTAATAAATTATTGTATTGTTAACCTAGATCCTCTCATCAAATATTGTCAGACTAGAAGTAGAAGGCTGAACTATAAAACTATAAGTATAAGAACTACTATAAGAAAAACAATAAAAATTGGGTTCGGGATTCTGGATTAACCTTATCATGTGTCACCGTGATTAATATTGTCGTGTAACAAACCCTGACTAATACTGTATATAGTATATAGGTTTATAAACCTTAAACGCGAACGTTTAAACCCTGCCCGGCGCCTATATGCTAAATTATTATGCAAATATTATTGAAGGTCTTTCAACAAATAAAACGTTAAACTTTAAAGGCCTGATGATTTGAATATATTTAAGTCATTATAACGAACGAACTGTGCTTTTGTTAATAAATAGTAAGTATAATAAGGCTCAATGAAAACTTTGCCAAACTGACTAGCTCTTAACTTTTGTTGGAAAGTATAACAATTATTATTAATTCTTTAGCGTTAAAACGAAGAGAAATTTTTGAATTTGTAAAAGTGTCATATTGCTTTAAAAAAATATTCATATCATATTAAGTGGTCGACCAGACGGGCTCAATCTTTTGTTCAAGAGAGAACAATTAATTTTTTAGAATTTGTATATTGCTATTATGTAAATTTAAATAAAACGTAAATTTTACTATATAAATAGGCTAAATCATTTTGGGAAATGGATATTATTCTATAGCGGCAATATGTTTTACTTCCTTTTCTGTATTTTATTTCTACTGCTGTCAAAACACCGTAATCAGCTGTACTTCTACTGATACTCGATAGGTACAGAAGCATTGGGTTACCGCCAGTAGAATGTTTGGAAAACGTATCCTAAATTTGTTGCGAAACTTATTTTCGAGATATATTATTAGTAGTAGCAGTGCCTGTTGTGCAGCCATGCTCTTTTTAATATTTGATCCATTTTTGTCCAATTATGCAAAATCACCTCAACATGCCCAAAACCCAGATTATAGGCTCCATCCCGATAATAATATAAAATTTAACAGTAATTTCTAAAATTGTAACCCTGTTCTGTATTTGGAGAATAGGATCAACAATGAGGTGGACAATTTTTCTAGCGTGCATCCTCGGAATAGTATACGGCGCGTGCCCGTTTAAGGATATGTCTCCTGCTGAAAAGAAACAACATCGTGCAAAGCTAGATGAAATCGTAAAAAGTAATTATGCAAGAGAGAAGGCAGCACGGCTCGCCCTATTAGACCCCAAAGATAATCCCGAGAGTGATGAATACGTCTCGCCTGGCCCAGGCACCATGCCGGTAAGTTTCCCCGGTGCATGTTTGACAAATCTAATTGGTTGGTTTCATAATTCATATGTACCGTTTGTTAAAAATAAAATACTGTGCTCTGATTGGTTGATAATGATTTGTTGAATACTGTGTACACTGTGAGTGTGACTGATTAACTAAAATATTATCCACTCAGCCGACCAGTAGTCCTGCTAAAGATATGGTCTTTACAAATGATGTGGACAGGAAAAATTGGGAGAACCAGTCCGAGTGGTGTTGGGAACTTGACGATGCTGAAGAGAATATTACAGAATGGATCCCGAAAGGTACCATTTCATTTTTAATTTTAATTTTTGTTTGATAAAGTAATTTGACCAAACCCATAATTGGGTAGCCGTAGATTGGACCGCGCGCGCCTGCCAGTGTCTCTCTAACTCTTTCCCAAACAAAAGTAAATGATATTAATATAAATGACCGTCTGCAAATGCAAAATGATGCCGATTACCGAGAATGAAATCGGTCCCTTGCTTTTAGTTTTCCCATTCATTCACGGCTTACCAATTGTAATAAGTTTCGATTAATTACATCAATCTGAATTATGCATGCTGTACAAATCTTTTTGGGTTGCTTTCGGGTCGATACCTAATATTTTGGGATAAGGGCGGTATAGACATAGTTAGTGTATAATTAGCTGATGTTTATTGAATCGTTAGTGAATGAATGGGAAAAACGAGCAACCGATTTCATTCTCGGTATCACTTTGCATTTGCGGACGGTTATTTAAATTAATACTATTTCCTTGTTGTTTGGGAAAAAGAGACACTGGCAGCGGTTCACTCTACAGTCTACCCATCACCCATGATTATGGGTTTTGGTCAAATATCATCTCTTTTTGATTATAACGTCAGGGTACTTTACAAAGTCGAAATGTATATGTATAACTTTATTAATAAATAAGGAAGTAATTTCAACGATTTCGAAATTTGACCTTTGAAAACATTTCCTTGTGTTTAGGTAAGCATATCTGTCAATCGCTGACTGAATATGCCACCTTATACTCATTCAAGTTGGCATTATATATAAAATTTGTTCGAAATCACGAATGAGCAAAATTCTCACCTTTCGCACACGCAAACTTTGAGCGGACGTTGCGTGCGCATCCAATAATGCATTGAATCGTAAATTTTTGCAATCTGGTATTTTATATATAGTTTGATTAACACACAAAGTTTCAAAAGATTTCAACAAGAACTTACATTACAACAGGACTCCAAAGTTGATTAAAAATCGTGAAAATAGCAATTTTTAGTGATTTTAGCAATTTTCCATCAATTTGGGCGTGTCCCCACGTGTGCAACTTATTAATTTTCAAATTTTAAACCAGCCTAATGCACATTATTTATATTGACCTATATAAAGCATTAAAATTTAATCAGCTCCACAACCCAAGGGATGGCCCAACACCGAAGAATAGTAATACTAATACAAACAAAATGGGTGTTTTAATTTGACCAAAACCCATAATGATAATCATATGGGCAGAGTGGATCGCTGCCATGCCAGTGTCTCAAAAAAATAGTGTAACTGTAATAATAAAAGTAAATGATATTAATTTGAATGACCGTCCGTAAATGCAAAATGATATCGAAAATGAAATCGGTCGCTCGCTTTTCCCATTCGTTTACAAATACAATTACAATTGTAATAGATTAAGAAGAACTACCCGAAGGCAGCTGTACTCGGCAATAAAGATTCAATAAACATCAGCTAATTGGACAATAACATTAATAACTATATACCATATAACTATATACCACCCTTATCCCGATATACTACTACAAGCGCGTCACGCAGTACGTGAGTGGCTAGATTATAGATTGTTTTATTATAATATTATTTAATTATGTTATTTTGTTGTTATGTCGTGTAAGTTTGTGGAGTAGTAGCAAGAAGGTATCGTATACATTTAAATTTGTTCTCTTGATTATTTATTAATGATTTAATGTAGGGTCGGCACCAATGTAATTATGGTCTTACCACCGTGTTTTGGTTCAGCCGAAATAAATTTTACTTTGATGTTTTTACATATTGTTTCTCACTCCAGCTGAGTCTGGTAGTGTTGAGTATCATGAATATTTTTCTAGCTCTCTTTTTCCGTGTTTTTGCTTCACAGGAGATATTGTGGTCTTTTTTATTGAATATAACTGTAATACATTGATGTAAAGTTTATTTGAATTTTGAATTAAATAAAAAAAGATATCGACCCGAAAGCAACCCAATAAGATTTTTACAGCATGTGATTGATGTTATTATTATTAATTGAAACTTATTTATACAATCAGTAAGCCGAAATTAATTTTTATTGACAGTTTCATTGCTATTTTGCTTACTCGTACTGTATGAAACATTGAGTGAAAAATTATTTGCTAAAATTTGCGACAAAAAGATCTTAAAATTGCGGATTTTTTATAGTTTTGAATGCCTCGGAGCGTTCATGTTAACGTCCATTCAAAGCTATGTTCCTTCACGCAATGTCCAGTCAAATAAAGTCCGATAAGGTAGCTTCGTTACTGCACATAGTCATAAATATAACTTCAAACTTTGACGGATGTTACTCGTCTAAATTTCTTCGAAGTAGCGCGCCGCTTTCTTCTCGAAATGTTAGCCCAAGGCAAATGCTACGAAATAGCGCGCCGGGTTAGTTGATTAACATTAACAATATACAAGTATAACTCAGCTCAATTGCAATACTTACAGTTACTAGGCCACGCGCTCAGCCTGTCATTCCGCCATAAAATATAATCTTCAATCGTGTACTCACTAGTTAACTGGCTTATTTGTTAGTGATCATAAACGAACACATTGAACCGATTGAAGATAAGGCGGAACCAATCATGTACCCACCACTTAATTTTAGACTCACTGTCGATGGCGCACCACTTATTTAAAGCAAACATTTTCAGGCACGATTAGAGTGGTGGGTCCAAAGGAAAAAGAGAAATGTCAAGGTGGGAACGAGTGGGAGTTTAGAGGTAAAGGATGTTGTTGCAAGATACCTAAGGACTGGTAGACTTGTCACAAGATGCATAAGGACTGGTACGGTAGACCGATAATAAATAAGATAGACTGATAGAAATAAGAAATAACTGGTTATCACTGTGACTGAGGAAGGAACCCAGAAACAATCTAGACAAATGTCATATGTGATATTCCTCGGCATTTTAACAATAGTGAATAGCTTTAAAAATCGCATGTCAATTTGGGGACGATTTTATTTTTGTGATTATTTATAATTGAGCTTTTATCCTTATTTTGTTCCATTTAAAATAGAAAATTAATTGTAGACTGACAAAGTGCTTAAAAGTTGTAAACCGGATTGTCTTATTGTGGTGAATATGACAGTTTATAGTTTAAAATATCTCAAAATGTCGATCAATATTATTTGGATGATGATTAATCACTCTACACTCGACTGTCACGTTACTTTTTAAACACGTTTTATCCCAAAATGTTGACCAGTATTATATTATCTAGCTTGATGCCGGAGACCAAATATATTTTTTAAATGGACACCTACACAATAATAATAAATAATAATAAAACAAAAGAAAACGAAATCTGTCATACCTCCTTTGAAGTATGTTACAAGATGAAGAATATCCACTTAATCGATGCTGCCATCCTCATGCCATGTGTACAGTGTATGTTTACACTTACAACTTATCTAGCCTGGGAAACTTATTACAATTCGTAAGCCGTGAATGAATGGGAAAAGCGTGCGACCGATTTCATTATCGAACAGCCAACTATACTACTAGTTCGTGGTTCGGAGTAGACTGAGAAATTGGTTCCAACAAAAGTGGGAAAAAGCTCGACTTGAAAACAAAAAACTTGCATTCTACAACGAAGTCAAAAGCAGCTTTGGATTAGAACCATACCTATCTCTACCCAATCACAAGAAAACCCGATGTACCACATGGCTGAGGACAAGCTCCCACAAACATAATATCGAGACGGGGCGATATGGCTGGAAAAATTCAAGCATCTTCTACAGAGCTTGCCACTTCTGCTGCAGCTCAGACAGAATCACCATAGACCTCCTGAACGAGCTCCCTTTTAGTGACATCATTAAAGAAGACGAAGTCCATTTGCTTAAAGAATGTCCAGTCTACAAGGAGATCAGACTTAGAAACAGCACAGACCTTCACAACATGCTCACAAATAGTCAATTCAGTAAATTGTTTATAGTACAGTCAAATACGTCCTAATTTAAGCCTTTGTCGGAAAAAAATTCGCAACAAAGCGATTTAACGGGAAATTGTCGGGACATGTCCCAGGAATCATATCAGAGAATTCCCAACATTTTTCTAACACTTTTTTACCACCTTTTTACCACTTTGGTTTTCCGCAAATAAGTCACGTTCTGAATATCCTAGAAGATTCTAGTTTAAAACTGTGTGTTAAAAAACAAAGAAGAACAACTTTTTCTTTAACAACTTTTTCTAAAATAAATTATTTGATTACCGTACAAAAATATATTGAACATTCCAGATATAAGCTTGGCAGTCAAAACATAAATATGTTACAGAATTTAATGTTTTTGGCCCAAGTACAAAATTTGAAGTAGACCAACATTTTTGTAGAGCATATATGAGTTGATGTAATTGAGATTCCTGAGTAATGCATTGAAATTTAATCTGTAATGCTCAGACGTATGCTCACTGCTAATTGCTGAATCGATAGATAGCAGTTTATTTTAGAAATTGATTGTTTTATTTCTTTATTGCAACAAATCATTCAATTAACACGCCTAACGTTAAACTATAAAGTATGACTTTATATGCGAAATTGGAAAAAAAAAATAGCTTAATAATGGAAAAAACAAATAAATGGAATGGAAAGTGGTCTCGAAAAGTCAAAAATGCGACTAAAATTGTTGTAGACTAAAAATTTGCGAAATTTGTGCCCAAAATTGTGGTAACAAAAATTATAGTAACCAAATTTATTGTGACCTAAATTTGTTGGCCCTAAGGTAATAAAGTTGATGGGACCCTTTATGACCTAGGCAAACTGGTCTGAACTTCAAAAACTATAATATAGCTTGCCTAACACCCCTCACACTAGGGTACATAATCTATACATTTACTTTCTAATGTTACGTTATTCAAGTTCCGCAGCCATTTAATCAAATTATACGAATAAGGATTGTTTCAGAATTCTGTATGAGAATCTTAAAACCATGTTACCAATACAAAAATATATTGAACAACATTCCAGATATGAGAATCATTAGAACAAAGGCGTCGACCCTGGCCCTGATCGATGATGGGAACATTCACCTTATTCCAGTGCGAACAGAAAGCGTATCTCCTTACAGTGTTAAATGTGGCGAACGAGTTTTCAGATAAACCAGCCAGTAATAAGTTTGGTGTATTAGTCCAGACTCTAGAAGGCGATCTTGCTAACCATATAATTTCAGAGTATAACTGAACATCACTCTCGCCCTTAGTTTCAGGTTTGACAAAACTTGTCCTTAGCCGTCGTTGTCGGAGAGGCAGTAAAGCATTGATAAAACAGTATTAAAAGGCAACAGCTGTACCCCCCCCCCCCCCCCCACATAAGTATATAGCACAAATAAGGATTATATTGTGATATTCAGCACTCTGTTGGATCGCTCTTGTTAAACATTTCGTTTGAGAATATTGTTGAAAACATCTGTCTCATCCTTTTATTAAAATTTGACAAACCTTGTCCTTAGCCGTATTGGTAGGAGAGGTATAGTGAAGCATTGGTTAAAAGGTATTATAAGGCAACAGCTGTATGATTGTGGCAGCAGCTGTACTCGTTTAGCGAGTCAAGGTTCGCCACTTCACGTGCAGGCAGCACATACAGGCAGCACGTGCAGGCGGAACAAATTTATTGCCATAATATACAAAGTATACATTATATCACCGAGTAAATAGAAGAGTATCCCTTTTTAAAAGTTGATAACCTTGTTGTTAGATATCGAGATTTTGTTTCTTCACAAATTTGAAATTATAATCTCGTATTAAGTTATTATTAGTTATCCTCGTTGGATCCACGAAGGATCCACGAAGGAGCCAGCAGACGACCAGATGTCTTCCTAGCTGATAAATACCTACGTCAACTAGAAAGGGATTTTTGCGAAGACCTTCTTATTGATAATAGAGACGCCTTAGTCTGGCTCGACAACATCAACAATACCCTGGACACAGAACTCAAAAGCAACATTAAAGCATTCACATTTGATTACAAAGCTTTATATGATTCATTGAGTCCCCACCTTACAATCCAAGCTTTGAAGGTGGCCATGGAAGAAAAGAGACCAGAATGGTCCGCCAAATTCAAGGAGTGGTTGATAAGAAGTGTTGAACTCAGCTTTGAGTCGTCTATAGGCAAATTTAACGGAGAGTGGTACAGACAGAAACGAGGAGTACCGACAGGAGGCAGTATCTGTGTACAACTTGCAAACATAGCAGTATACCATGTCATGCGTGAACAAGTCTATACAGACACGGAACTAATGGAACCTGTAAAATCGGTCAAGAGATACATAGACGACGGCTGTGGAGTATTCCATGGTACAAAAAGACAGTTTTCAAAATTCATCGCGACTGTCAACTCAAGGCTAGCAGAACTTGGCCTCCACATTGATGAGAACATCATAGAAGACAACAATGTTTATGTGTCGTTCTTAGACATCAAATTTTGTTTCGACACCGCAGGTGATCTTCAGACAGACCTCCATGTTAAAGAGACTGATGCTCGCTCCTACCTGTACTTCGGTTCCCACCACCCGAACCATACATTCAGCAGCATAGTCTATAGTGCATGCCTGAGACTCCGGCGAATCATCAATGATAACGACAGACTCCGAAAACAAATTGATGAATTAAAAACCTTTTTCTTCCAATCCAACTACCCTAAAACTATGGTAGATAACATCAGTGAAAAGGTCAAAGGCTTCGAAAGATGTCTCAAACCACTGGACAACTCAAACAGCAATGTCCTGGTACCAAAGTCTCCAGAACCAGCAGTCCGCGTTATTTCAACATTTGGCAGTGATCAAGAGTTAGTAGAATCGGTGCAAAGATTGGAACCAGAACTCAGTAGAACCAGGAGCTTCTCAGGATTATCTGGTTCCCATACAAGTGGAAACACCCCAGGCTCCCCAATATCATCTAGAGCCGGTACATCACGCCCTATCTTCAAATTCGTCAGACGTACTGGAACATCATTTAGAAGGAAGTTAGTCAAAGCAAAACAGTTTGCAGATGACTTAACCCAACCTCACACAAGACCATGTGGGGGCAGACACTGCGGTACCTGTAACATCATATCTCCACATCCATCAATAACAGTCAATGGACAGCGAGCCAAGGCAGTGTCTGGTACATGTGTCAGCTACAATGTTGTATACCTCTTCAGTTGCCAACTTTGTAACATGTGTTATGTAGGAAGAACGGTGCAGCCCCTCAGGGCACGAGTAAACGAACATCGCGCCCATTACTACAAACTCATTTCGGACAATACGTTTGTCCCTGAAGAAAACGACGACGGATTCAGCTTGGGTAAACACCTTGTAGAAGTTCATAACATGAAACAACGTGACAATTTCAACCAGGCTTATAAAGTGTCAATTCTCAGTAATAGTAGCCCAAGAACTCTAGAAGTGGATGAACACCGTTATATTCAGAAACTAAGAACTATACGTCCATTGGGGCTCAATGCCATGGACCCGTTTGGGATTCCATTATTGGATTTATCTTAAATGTTTTCTATTGCATTGGGGCACAAGAGTTATGTTTTAAAAAAATATTCATATCGTTTTTAGTTGTGTCATTTTATTTCCAATGTTACACTTTGTAGGAACTGATATTAACCGAGTTTCTGATTCAGGATGTTACTGAAGATAGTAATGAAAATGTTTTAACACCTCAGTACTGTGTTTTACTACAGCTCAACCTGCTCAGTCTGACTATTTGGGAATTTAAACTCTTGATAGTTATCCTCGTTACAAAACGCATAATTATCCTATTAGTGACCGCGTGAAGATATCCCAAATGTGATATCAGCATGTTTTAATATATGATATCACTATCAGTATGTCTAATGGCTGCTTTCATGGTTTTTAGCCACAAACGTTTCACTTTATTGATTTCCGGCACACGAAATGACCTGTATTACAGGTTGTTGGTGGTTTATCTTGTTTAAGAAGTATTCATAGTTATTAGTTTTATAACTTTGTTTGTATTGCAATCGTTTTTCTCAATTAGTACGTAAATTGTACATTGTTGTTCCCCAGTTTTCTGATGTAATCGTTCTATTCAAGCGTAAAAACAGTCAACTGAATTTATTATTTGTGAACCCTCCATTGCATCAAGTCGCAGCTGGCCATAAAATGATTATTAGCCAAAAATATATAGGTATTATCTTTTTCATACTCGATTCATGAGATTCTAATTTCGATTATGACACTATGTTATTCTTGGAATTCATTTGAGATCACATGTCAGAAGAAGAAGCGGCAGGAAGCAAAGAAGAAGAAAAAGAAAAGCCAAAGGAGCTCCTGTGGCGTGCCTTATGCCAACAGCCAACCAACTGCTCACGACATCATTGAACCTGGTGGGCAGCCCACTGAAAACATTGTCGAGAAAGACGTGCCATCAGACCTTTACCCGCCTCAAAAGGACCGCCTGGCGAAGACGGAATGCAGCAACTGTTCTGAGCTCAGGACGGCAGTGACTGTGTTGCAGGAAAGCATCTGCACCATTAAAGAAGAGATGCTGCAGCAAAAGGCACTATCTGATCTGATTGTATCATCCCCAACAATCTCAGATAAAAACATGGACCGTATCGTCAAAAGCAAGGTTAGCCCACTGGAGGACAAAGTGAGACAACTTAGGGTTGACCTCAATTTGCTCAGGGATACAGTTGACGAACAAAATAGAACCCTCGAGATCATAGCCAACAGAGAGATTCAATCACTACAGGAAGTTAGAGCAGAGGTCGCAGACAGCGTCAAAACGTCCGAAAAAGCGAGTAACACCTCCAAGAGGCGATTTGAAGATCTAGAGCTCGAGCAAGATAAACTGAAGAAAGCTCTTAGAAGCACGGTAAGTTCTGCTAAGAATGAAACGATCGCCTCAATCGATTCGCTTAGGAACGAGTTCAACAACGCTTTTCAGTCACTTGACACTGTAAGCTCATCTAACAGGACAAGAATTGAGGCCCTTGAGACTAACCATGAGAATGTAGCAATTGTCCTTGCAAATGACGTACAGCCCGTTGTAACGCATATAAGCAAACCTGACACTGCTACCCGGGACGTTCAAAGGAATGGTCCGAATGCAACAGGAACCCCTACCTGGGCCTCAATATCGGCAGCTAACAGCGGAAATCCGTTTACAAAAGCAGACAAACGTAACAACAAAAACCACCGTGAGAGAAAACCGAGCCAAAGTGAGCGGCTACAGAACGGCAGCAGAGGCAATAAACGCACCAACTCACCCACTGGTGGGGGACAAGACGGGTCTCAAAATGGTAGCCGCATGACAACTGTCTTGAACGAACAAGCTCAAGAAGAGCGCCTAGACAATTCTCTAAATGATAGCCGCATGCCTCATCGGCGTGAAGATCATGTACCATCCTCAACTTCACAATCTCGGGAAGTCGGACCAGGCACAGGAACTGGAACCAGGAACTCTCATATCTATCGTAGGCACACGGTACTTCTCATACACGATAGTAACTTTGACAAGTTCAATCCACGTAGTTTCAGTTCTCAATTCAATGTGCACCAATTCGGGGCATCAAGTCTCGAAAACCTAGCAAAGAAACGAAAACAGCTCAACGAGAAGCTGAATAAGCTACGACCAGACTGTATTTACGTTCACCTGGGTATCAACGACCTTACGAAGAGGAAATGTATCCCATCTGGAGCTATCCACGAACTCGCAGAGTATCTCCTGGAGACCTGCAAAGCTCAGATATGTTTCTCCCTTTTCATTCCAACCTCTAATGACAAGAAAATGAACGAGCGAATCGTGTACCGCTCGTACACGCATATTCACGTTTGCTAACGACCGGGTTGGCAACCAGAACAGTTATTCTATCAACACTGGATTTACCCTAAAAGACAGTGGTGAAAAAATGCTCTACGTCAGCCTTCGTGAAGGACTTAAGAAGACGATGCGCATTCCTCACCAGAGCCACGATGGAAATCCTCGTCAAAAACGCAGCTCGAACCGTTTCAAAGATGAGTAAAAACCGGGACACACTCAATTGCCTTAGGCTGATGAGCTGTATGCACGGCGATTCATAAACACCTAGGAGCTGGAGCTGTTAGAGTCCACGTACCAGATTGTGACGACATACTCATCGTCAAGCTAAGAGCCAAATACTTTAATCTTGACAAGGACCTAAACCTTATCAATGTATACGACTCGCCAGCACACGGTTCGTATAAAAAACGTATACGTTCGAATACCGAGGAATACATCACTACTTGCGAACAACTTGAGGAGTGCTTATCCAGGATTCCCGACACAGAAGATGCCGCCATACTTGGGGATATGAACGCACGGACCGGTACTCTGAAAGATTTTCTTATTCCCTGCGAATCTAGGAATATACATGTCGATCTCGACCCTCCTCAATTTATAACAGCCTTGACACCAAGGAACAATCAGGACCGAACTTTGAATTCGAATGGCAAACCGTTCATTGAGCTTCTCCAAACAGCAGGGATGATAATTCTCAATGGAAGGACTATTGGAGACATTTTCGGTAGCCATACATGCATTCAACGTCACGGAGCCAGCACTGTTGATTACATCTGTGTCTCACGAGATATCCACCATCGGGTTAGGTCCTTTTATGTGGGCGATATCACACCTTACTCAGACCACAGACCGATATCAACCGCCCTCACCACAAACCATGGGGTGAATCTTCTTGATGACAACCTCTATAAAGAACGTGAACGGAAACTAGCACCAGTGCCGAAGCCCTTCAAGTGGACCAAAGACACTAGCACTGGGTTTGGTACATCAGAAAAGTTCAAGTCGGCCCAGAATGATGCCCAATTCATGCAGAAGGTCGAATCGCTCCTAGCAAATGACATCACCTGCCCCGAAGACATTCGAAAATACAATGACTCTGTGATTACAACCTACATTAACCTAGCCAGCCAGGTCACTACCCAAAAAAGTGGCCGTCTTCACACTAACAAAAACAAATGGTTCGATTGGGACTGCAGAAAGGCAAAACGTCAAGTCTGCAAGATCGAAAGAGTAAAGAACAACCCCTACATTGATCCCATGTTAGTGGAACCTACTCGTGCTAAGTTTTACCTCCGAAAAAAGGAATACAGGGCTCAAGTTCGATCCAAAAAAGGCGCATATCTCTTTCAACTGAACGAGAAAATAAACAATGGCAATGACATTAACTGGTCTGCTCTGAAAGATCTCTCGTCCTCCTGTAGAGATCCTGAGACATTCGATCTGTACGATCTATTTGCTTTTCACAAATTCTTCAACGACCTCTTCAACCAAAAGTGCAAGGATCCATCCCACCGTGAACTTCAAGCCCACAACGCAAGCAATGATGGGAGCAGCCACCCTGACCTACCAACTGAAGTGGAAAATCTTAACATGGAGTTCACTCTACAAGAGCTTGAAAAGGTGATCAACAAACTCAAAAACAACAAGAGCGTATCACTGGACCTAATATCGAACGAGATGCTCAAGAACTCCAAACTTTGCCTAAGGAAAGTTCTTCTCAAGTTGTTCAACGGCTGCCTGGAACAGGGGACTTACCCATGGAATTGTTCGATAACCACCCCTCTCCACAAGAAGGGCGACAAACAGAACCCTGACAACTACAGGGCGATAACTGTTGGAAGCTGTCTAGGGAAGCTATTTGCTTCTCTTCTCCTTGAAAGACTTATCGACTTCCGCAAAGTTATCTGCCCCGATTTCCCCCACCAACTTGGCTTCAGAGCTGGTGCACAGTGCTCGGATCACATCCTTACAATTACCACAATCATTGAGAAATACACGAAAAAGCTCAAAAAGAGAGTGTTTGCTTGTTTTGTTGGGTAACTCGGTAATCTGCCGATGCACATCTGGGGCACACCTGGGGCACACCTGGGGCACAAACTCGGGCACACCTCGGGCACACCTCGGGCACACCTGGGGCACAAAGCACACCTCGGGCACACCTCGGGCAGAACCACCTGGGGCACACCTCGGGCACACCTCGGGCACACCTCGGGCACATCTCGGGCAAAATTCGGGCATGGTAATTGGGAAACCTTGGGAAAAGAACCTGGGCACATCTCGGGCACACCTCGGGCACACCTCGGGCACACCTCGGGCAGAACCACCTGGGGCACACCTGGGGCACATCTCAGGCACATCTCGGGCAAAACCACCTGGGGCACGGTCATTCGGGCAATATGAATTATTATTTATTACTATGATGATAGATATCATTATTTATATTACTTATATTGGTGACAGTATTAAACTATATGTATGAGCAATATAATTTTCAGGGACACAATTTTATTATTTAAAAAAATTTATTTATTAACGAGCAATTGAAAAATACGATTGATCTGTTCGTAATGTATTTAATAAATTTAATAGGTAAGCAATATTATATTATTAAAGTATCAATCGGAACATCTCATAACCATTAAAAACTATAAGTATTACTGTAACTACAAAATAAATCAGTATATCCTCTTGGGAGGGAGTGCTTCTCCTGAAGCGTGGAGTGTGCGAAGCACAGTTTGGTTCCGGTTGCAGATATCCCTGGCCACTGGTAGAAGGTTTTTAAGCGTGGGATTTATCAGCTGGAGGAGACCATGTCGGAGAGAAGGTAGGTCAATCCTCGCTGCCTCTGCTATGCAGCGCTTCCTGCCGAAAAAGGACTCAGATATCCCCTCTGCAGCGAGTGCCTCCTTCTTCGTAGCACCATTCCGGACACGTGCCAGGATCCTGTCGTACTTTGAAACTTCTCCGTCGATGGTGAAGGTGCGGCTCGAACCAGGATAATGGGCCGGAACAGGACCGGTGGGAGCTGTAGCGGGAGCTGGAACAGGAGCGGCAGCCGGAACAGGAGCAGGAACAGTAGCCGGAGCTGGTACAGTAACCGGAGCCGGAGCGGGAGCGGGAACTGGAACATGTGCTGAGGTTACCGGAACGACAGGTCGAGGGGGAGGAGGAGGAAGAACCACAGGTGCTGTAGGAGCAGCAGGGGTGTGAGGGGGAGAGGGAGACGGTCTGACGACAGGAGAGGAGTGTGTATCGCAGGGGTCTATCGTAACCACTATCTGCGTACCGTCTGGCTCGTTACTCTGTCTACTTCTGACTGTTCGGATGCAGTGGGGGCAGGTGAGGGCTGGGATAACAGGAGAGTAGGAGGATCGTGGACACACTGTGTTGATGTGACCTCGTGCGCCACAATGACTGCAAGTTGGGGGAGGAATAGGTCGGGATAGTCGAAGTCCGGATCGTGTAGGCATGATGATTAGTAGTAGATATGTTGTGGTAGTAGAACGAAAACTGGAATGAGGAACCTATGTGATAACAACCTTTATACCCGAGGGTTTTGGGATCAGAGCTTGTTAATTCACGGTTCGGATCGCATTGATCGCATGGATCGCATGGCCCAACAAGATGGTAGCCATAACACGATAACATGGATCACGTGGTGAGTATTCGCAGCCCCTCTCACGTGACGCTATGGCAAGAAATCAAAATGCCTTCGCCTCATCGACTGTTCGGTGGTAATCGGAATGTTTGATCTAGTTATGTGACGCGATAAGAAGAACAACAAAGTCTTGCGATCGTGACAAATATAAGGTACTCTTCTGTGACGTCCCAGCAAGCAGTCAAAATTCGTCTAATCAAGCAACACGTCGCTCCTGGGACCATCATCCTTACCGACAAGTGGAAGGGGTACAACGCCCTCCGACACCACGGCTACACCCACTTGGTCGTAAACCACAGCAGAGGCTTCGTCGACCCCGTCACCGGTGTTCATACGAATACATGTGAGGGCATGTGGTTTCACGCCAAGAGGCACATGCTACGAGGACACGGCAGGACGCGAAGAGACTCCTCAGCCCTCTACATCGCCCTCGCTGAATTCATCTGGCTGAGAAGGAACCACCTGACCCGCTCCGGCCCTTCCGTCAGAAGATATTTTAACCAGGAGCTCCCGCAGTTGATGCGTAGAATTTTTGATTAGAATGTGTTTAATAGTTTTGTAAATATACCGATTGATTATGTAATATATTGCTTACAGTTTAATGAAATTATCATGTAAAGTTATGGACAGTTCAATCGTGTTTTTCACTTGTTCGTTAATAAATAGATATTAGATATGTGTCTCTGAAAATTATATTGCTCATATATATTATATTGCGATAGTATAATACTAGTATAATACTATCGCAAATATAAGTAGGTAATAAATGATATCATTGAGGTTAGTAGCCCAGCCATAATTCATTGCCCGAATGACCGTGCCCCAGGTGGTTTTGCCCGAGATGTGCCCGAGATGTGCCCCAGGTGTGCCTGAGATGTGCCCCAGGTGTGCCCCAGGTGGTTCTGCCCGAGGTGTGCCCGAGATGTGCCCGAGATGTGCCCAGGTTCTTTTCCCAAGGTTTCCCAATTACCATGCCCGAATTTTGCCCGAGATGTGCCCGAGGTGTGCCCGAGGTGTGCCCCAGGTGGTTCTGCCCGAGGTGTGCCCGAGGTGTGCTTTGTGCCCCAGGTGTGCCCGAGGTGTGCCCGAGGTGTGCCCGAGTTTGTGCCCCAGGTGTGCCCGAGGTGTGCCCCAGATGTGCATCGGCAGATTACCGAGTTACCGCATATCTGTCGATCTTTGGAAGCGCATGTGTGTTACTACTTTTTGACACACATGCGCTTCCATACTACGTAAGTCGAAACAATTTTTCAACAGAAATTCGTCAGGAGATTGACTGTCATTTTGGTAATGAACATTTTGGGAATATACATGATAACAATAATTTAAAATTTTATTCGGATGATGATTAATCACTCTACACTCGACTGTCACGTGACTTTTTAAACACGTTCTTTATGCTGGCCCTGAATGGCTATTCCAACCCTAACCCTAACTCAATGTTTAACAAAAGCGGCTTTTACTATTACTAATTCGCTCGCCCAAAAATTTCACGTGACTTTGGTTTTTAAGGTTTTGCAGCCGTACAAAACGGTTTTACATAAACCCTAATCCCAACCGTAATCCCAACCATAACCCCGAAGCTTACCATAACCCTTGGCCTTAGGCTTACCACAACCCTAACCCGACTAACCCGGGCCCTAAACTATCAAATTCGTATTTTACTAGCCTGTCACGTGACCAAAACGGTTTTTTGCCCATAACTCTCCAGGGAAGCATTTAATTAACCCTACGTCATGGGGGTGATTCGGAATCGGCGTCCAAAAATACACCGATCTAGATCATTTTCATGCCCAAAGGGCCTTTTCACAAGAATTTTCTTAAAATTTGGGCGAGCGATTTAGTAGGAGCGAACAAACGCATATGTTAAAACCCTGACCCTAATGAGAAATTATAGCAATTTCCTTGTATTTCCTTGTATACGGTCATATCACGTGATCGAGACAATTATTCGCCAATATGCAATATCTCGTCAGGGGAGCATTTTAACCCTGTGTCATGAGTTGTAGCGCGATGCGTTACTGGGCCGCGCCGCGCACTCAATTATACGTCTATTCACTATTCTCGCAACCAACCTTGCTAGATCGGCGAATTAATGCGTTACTGGGCCTCGCCGAGCTGCGATGAATTTACATTGTCAATTAATGTCATGAGGGGTGATTTGCAATCAGCGTCCGAAAATACATCGATCTAAGCTAGTTGGTTTCAACTGTCGGGGTCTCTTTTAGAATAATCTCGAAAATCGACTGTAAAGTGATTAAGCACGCTCGGTTTTATTATTTAAAGTTCCTTACTCGATCACTTAAAGTTAAGTCAATATAAATAAAAACTTATATTTATAGTATACAGCGAGCATGCTAGATCACTCTATGCTATACTATACAGTCGATCTTCGAGATTGTTCTAAAAGGGCCCCCGATGGTTGTAACCAACTTCAATCGCGATAGATGTATTTTCGGACGCTGATTCTGAATCACCCCCATGACATAGGGTTAAAATGCTTTACTGCATCCTGACGAGATATTGGCGAAAAACTGTATTGATCACGTGATATGACCGACCGTATAAGGAAGTTAGTCTAATTTCTCGTTAGAATTAAGATTTCAGCATATGTTTTTGTTAAAGATTGGGTTAGGGTTAGGGTTGGGATCAGATATGATTAGACGGTTAGAATTTCGAAAATTCGTTCAGAACCAGCTCGAGAACGGCTTAAAAAAGTCACGTGACAGTCGAGTGTAGAGTGATTAATCATCATCCAATTCCAATATACAGCAAATTGAAGAAACAGCAGATCATGGATCAAGCCACATTATAATTATATCAGCCTCGCGAAGTTTAATCAAATCTGTAAACGTACATTTAACATTTGACTGTAAGTTATAATGACTGTAAGTTATAAGTGTAAGATGTATATACAATATAATAACTTATAAATTGTAAATGTACACGCATTAATATAAACCAATTTGGCCGCCATATAAAGCAATAAACTGAAATTACAAATGAAACGTGTGAATTCAAACGCCTAGGACTCTATTATTTATTATCCAACGTGAAAATATATTGAGCGCATTATTAAAAATTTGTAATTGAATCAGCGTCCAAAAATACACCGATTTAGATCAATTTCATACCCAAAGGGCCTTTCCACAAGAATTTTTAATAAATTTGGGCGAGTGATTTAATAGAGAGCGACATTTTCGTGCGCGGCAAATAAGTTTTAGATTTTAGAATTCAAATGATCATACTCATAGCCAGAGTTGACCATTGTTAATGGTTTGGCCCGGCGCGCAGGGCTACTTCGTAGCATTTGCCATAATATTTTGAGAAGAAAGCGGCGCGCGCTACTTCGAAGAAATTTATATGTTATACTTGGAGGACTTCGCCGCTTCGACGCGCCGCGCAAACTAGCATTCTTGCTTCGCATCGACGATCGTTGCTCTGCTTCGCAGAGCAACGATCTCGACGGATTGACATCGTCAATCAAATGTTATACGAGTAACATCCCTTATTGATTGACAATGTCAACCCTTCCAGATCTTTGATCTGTAAAACGAAGCAATAATGCTAGTTTGCGCGGCGCGTCGAAGCGGCAAAGTCCTCCAACATCCGCCAAAGCCAAAGTTATGCCTATTTTAAAACAACAATTTTAGACAAATTTTACGTGTAAATTATTCATTTTTCGTTCATTGATTGCTCATAATTTGTATCACGATGTTTCACATAGCCATGTGTACGGTGTACGAGAAGGGGCCTTACGAAGAAAATATATGCTTTTAAAAAAAATATATACTTTTTCAAAAAAACATATATACTTTTTTTAAAAACATATATACTTTTTCAATAAAAAACATATGTTTTTTGGAACGTATATATTTGCGGAAAAACATATATTTTTCGTAAGGCCCCTTCTCGAACATGGCGTGTACAAGAAGGTACTGCCTTGCAAGGCACCTTCTCGTACATGTGATGTTCGAGAAGAGGCCTTACGAAAAATATTGTATCACGTGGTGACCCCCACGGTCGCTTCACGGTCGCTTCACGGTCGCTTCACGGTCGCTTCACGGTCGCTTCACGGTCGCTTCACTGTAGCGTCCTCGACGCTACAGGGGAAGCCGCGCACTTCGTGCGCGGCGGGTCATACAACGTATGACAAGAAAAATATACGTTTTTCCGCAGATGTTTAGGTAGTTAAACACCTCTACTACCTGTGGATGGGTTACAGCTACCTAGTAGAGAGTATAGATGCAACATATTGCTTTAGCTTAGAGCTATTCTCAATCTAACTAACTGTGAATTCTTGCAAATTGTTACAGCTATGGCGAGGTTTTCCCTCCTCTTCTTTCCTCTGTCTCCCTGTATGGATCTCACTGTGGTCCTTAGCAGCTCAAATCGCAATCTTTTTCTAAAATAGGAGACTCAAGACTGAGTCTGAGTAGTGCTGTCCGGTTGTTCTTTCCATTTTTAATTACAAATTAAGTCTTACTGGGCCGCGCTCAGCCTGTCATGTGTCATTCCGCCAAATCTTTATTCGTTAATGAACATAATAGCCTGGGGTCCTCAGGTAAATTAAGTCCATTTACGCTGCGCAGTGCCGCTAATGAAAATATTCGTTTTCGAAATTGCTCTTTCCATACATCACGATGTTAAATTAAGCATAAGGAGGGTTATTAAGAAAGATTTGTTTTCAATTCCGTATAAAAGACCTTGCTATCCAATGCGCGCTCTGTATCAGGTATGGCAACACGTTATTTGACCTATGTTATAGTTCCATTGTGCGCGGCTCGCACGAAAAGGTGCAGATCAAAATAA